CCACTTTTAGATTTGTTGGGTGACTTCAGCACCAGTGCCACTAAATGGCCTTTGTGGCTATTGTGTGACAGGTCACTCATCGTTGTTTCCCATGGAGGATGAGCGGACTTACGGAGAGGATGACCGGTCTGATCAGAGTCTGAGTGGACTGGGTTCACCACACAGTTTCCCTCACCAAAACGGCGAACGCATTGAGCGCTATTCTCGCAAGGTCTTTGTCGGTGGCCTACCTCCGGACATAGATGAAGGTACCAAGTGATAAGAAGTGTTGCTCTCCAGGTTTTTTTTTTTTAAATGTGCATCAACCACAACAAACACGTCATATGTATTGTGTGTAACATTTCAGATGAGATCACCGCCAGTTTCCGACGCTTTGGACATTTGTTTGTGGACTGGCCTCACAAAGCAGAGAGCAAATCTTATTTTCCACCGAAAGGTGAGTTTCGGAGTCGTTTGCACGGACGTTTATTAAGAAAATGAGTCATGCAGATATCAACTTCTCTCATTTCATCGGATGAATTCTGTATTCCTAAGTGGGTGCGCATACGGCACACCCATTGTTTAAAGCTGAGCTCCAGATGAATATCATCAGTGGGGACTAAGCAAAGGCTACAGGTCAAGGTTATTGATAGTGACTGCTGGTTGCTTCTTACATGCATACCTTCAATGAACCCATTGTCCTGCAGGTTATGCGTTCCTTCTGTTTCAAGACGAGAGCTCGGTCCAGGCACTGATAGACGCTTGTATGGAAGAGGATGGGAAGCTCTATCTCTGTGTCTCTAGCCCTACAATCAAAGACAAGCCAGTAAGATATTAAAAGGCTGTATGTCTGCTGTTCCTGTGTGACATATTTTAAAGCTCTTTTGCAAGTTGTAAAATAGCAGTAGAGCTTTTTAAAGTTAAATATAAACCTGAAAGTTGTAACCTGCTCCAGCAGTGTATGGCACATGACAAGCTACTGATTCTCTTATATTCACTGTGTATCTTCAGGTCCAGATACGACCCTGGAATTTGAACGACAGTGACTTTGTGATGGATGGCTCTCAGCCCCTTGACCCCAGAAAAACGATCTTCGTTGGGGGAGTTCCACGACCTCTACGAGCTGGTTTGTTTGGATTTTAGATATTACCATGATCAAAAAAAAAA